GAAATATGGTGCCAGACGTTTAATGGCAGCTATTAGGGCCAGTACAGTTTTCTCTAGCAAGGTGTACCTGGTTTCCGGGCCGTTCAAAGCCTTGCTTACAAAATAGATTGGCCGTTGAACGCCATCTTCTTCTTTCAACAGTACTGTGCTCACGGCCATGTCAGCTACAGCAAGGTACATATACAGATGTTCCCCTGGTTCGGGTTTTGTCAAGACCAGGGGGAAGACAGATACGTCTTGAAATCTTCAAAGGCCGTTTGGCATTCGGCCGTCCATTCAAAAGTGTTGGCTTTCTTCATGATCTGGAAGAACGGAATAGCTCGATCGGCCAGTTTGGATAGGAATCTACTCAGGGCTGCTAACCGGCCGGTCAATCTCTGCACTTCTTTGAGATTTCTTGGAGCCTCCATATCCACAATTGCCTTTACTTTTTCAGGATTGGGCTCAATCCCCTTTTCGCTCATCATGTATCCCAAAAATTTGCCCCCTCTTATAGCAAAAGCACATTTTTGGGATTCAGTCTCATATTTGCTTTCTGCATTATCCCGAACACCTTTTCTATGTCCAGGACGTGGTTTTCTTTCTTCCTGCTTTTGATTAGGATGTCATCAACATAAGCTTCCATTGTGACCCCCAGCACTTCTTTGAACAGCATCCCGATCATCCTTTGAAAAGTTGCCATTGCGTTCTTTAATCCGAATGGCATGACGATATAGCAAAACACACCATCCGAAGTAACGAACGCCATTTTCTCTGCATCCGCCGGGTGCATGAATATCTGATGGTAACCCCGGAAAGCATCCATGAAGCTCAGCAATTCACATCCGGCAGTTTCATCTACTAACAGATCGATCCTCGGCACTGGATAGGGATCCATGGGGCAAGCCTTATTCAGGTATGAGTAATCCACGCACATTCTCCAAGTATATTGTTTTGGGGCTAGAACCACATTGGATAGCCATTCTACGTGGATTACTGGACGAATGTGCTTTATTTTCAGCAAGGTGGCCACCTCCCGCTTTGTGAATTCCCGCCGTTCGGTTGCTTGATACCGTTTCTTCTGCTGGACTGGTTTTGCATCAGGCCGAACGGCAAGTTTGTGACATATTATCTCCGGATCAATACCGGGCATATCTTCTGGCCCCCGGGCAAACAATACCTGAAACTTTTTTAGGACGGCAATCACGCCATCCCGGATGTCAGCCTCCGGATCTACCCCGATAGCTATCTTACGCTTCGGGGAGGAATCCAGGTCGATTTGTTCAAGAAGAGTGGCGGGCTCTGGATGTGCCTCGAACTCCGTTCGGTGTGTTTCCACCTCAATTGTATTAACCCGCATCCCACGAGTGTTCATCTGTTTCAGGGCCTCCCGATAACATGTCCGGGCTGTCGTCGGATCAGTTCTGGCCACCCCAACCCCAGTGTCTGTAGGGAATTTGATGCATGAGTGGCGGACAGAGGCTATTGCCTCCAGATCTTCCAATCCCGGTCGGCCCAATATGGCATTGTGGGCACACTTTATATCCACCACCACGAACGTCATTCGGAGTGACGCTTTGTGGGTTTCATCCCCAATTTCAACCATCAATTGGATGGTACCCTCAGCCTCAATGCAATTACCGGTGAAGCTTGCCAGTGGGGTCCCTAGGTGGGTCAGTTGACTTCTTTGTAGACCCATTTTTTCGAACGACTGTAGATACAATACATTCACACTGCTCCCGGTATCGACCAGTACTCGGCGGATCAAAGCATTGTCAATACACATGCTTACCACCAGTTCATCCCTGTGTGGGCTTGGAGAGTTGGGTAAATCAGCTGGCCCGAACGTGATCGGGTCCGTCCTTCCTTTCTTCTGGGGGGGGGGGAGCGGAGACAGATCCCACACAAAGACTTCGCTCGAACCTTTTCCGTTCGGCGTTCGAATCCCCTGTCTCCCCGCCCCCGAATATAACCTTGACCTCCATTCGAGGTTTCTTTCCAGGGCCTCCCGAGCCCTCTGGTTCATCCCTGGGGGGAACATATATGTCATTTTGAGGTTGGGCATCACGTTGGGCATCCCGGCACCAGCTATTAGGTTTCCTGATTGGTTTCAACGTGCCTACATCATTTGGATCTTTATTCACATACTTGCCCAGATGACCTCTTCAGATCAAATCCTCAATGGCTGTCTGTAGGGCCCTGCAGGCATTAGTGGCATGACCCTTCCGGTTGTGATATTTACAGAAAGCATTGTCATCCGCTCCCATAAACTGTCCAGAATCAGTCGGGAGGGGAATATTGTCCCTCTCGTGCTGATAAATGGTCGCTACTGATAGGACCAGGGGAGTAAATCTCCCTTGCTTGGGAGGTATAGCGGTCGCTGGGCTAGGACCCAGCCGATCGGCCATTCTGATCGGGGCAGCAGGCGCAATGACCTTATCCCTGATCATTATCTCCTCTTCTAGGGCGGCATGCTTGCGAGCCCTGTCTAATACCTCGGCGTAGACTGTACCCGGATTTTTCTTTAACTCCTTGTACAACTCCCCCGTTCGGAGAGCATTCGTGAATAGGGTAATGGCGGTATCATCCGTCATGTTTCCCACCATTAAAGTTTAATCCCTCCATCTTTTCAGAAATTGATTGAGGGTCTCTTTGGCGTTTTGCTTCACGCTGGTCAAATAGCTGAAATGCCGTTTGGGATTGGCACTGGAAGCAAATTGGGCCAAGAATAACGCTGATAACTCGGCCAAGCTGTTGATTGATCCGGGCTGTAGTGTCCCGAACCACTCCTGGGCGGCCCCCCTGAGCGTACTAAAAAACAACCGGCAAATAGCGGCCTCGGGTGCTCCTAGCAGCATGAGTCCCCCTTGGTAACTCCTCAAATGCACATGGGGATCTCCCACCCCGTCATAGATTTGGCCAGTCGGTGGCTTGGCACCCCCTTGGATGTCTGCGTACATGAGTTCCCTAGTAAAAGGGGAAGTAATTCCCAGCTGAACTGGGGCAGGTTGTACAGGTGCCCTGTTCATTTGGTCCCGCATCTCATTCATCTGCCTCCTCATCTCGGCCATTTCTTCCTCCTGGGCCGTCAAAGGGGGCGGTGGTGGAGCCCTCATGTCCGTATAGTCCCGGTCCCAATGCCGTTGAGGGGCCCTGGTATTCTCCCGCTCGGCATTCTGGAAATGATGACCAATGGGAGTTGGTCCTCTAGCTTGTGACCCGATCGGGGTTCGGTCACTGGGACTATGGTGCGCTGTTGGTGGGGCGCTACGTCGATTATCCCGATGAGCATGCGAACGGGATGATGTTGTAGTTGTTTCCGTGCGTGGAGTCTCCCCTGTAAAGTTGGACCCTCCTTCCTCTTCGTTCGCCATATGCTGCATGACCTGAGCCATGTCTCGCATGGCCTGAGGATTTCTTCTCAGAGATTCGGGAATCACAAAATCCCCATCAAAACGAGGATACGATCCTTGGCTAGATTGTCCCTGAGGGTTTTGACTCCCCGGGGTGTGACTCCTCCCGTGACGGTGTGAACCGTCGTTTGTATGATAGGAGCTGATTCTGACCATTTTTGAAAATAGTGGTTTTTGGATGATTTGAATGTGAAACTTTTTGTAAGGTTCCCACAGACGACGCCAATGTTGAGTGTAAATCCCGTAGATCCGAAAGCCCAACACGAACTTTGGATATATCAGGAATGGCACAGAATCAAAGTGTATGAACAAAATATAAAATGTGAACTCACTAATACGCGAAAGCTCACTTGTATTAACTAACCAGTCTGATTACAAGGAATTTCCCGATCGGTAGGTCGGAAACAATGCTTTAATACAAGAAATAAGAGCAATGATGCTGTTCTAGAGTCTGAGTATTGAAATGCTAACCCTTACAATGACTTGAAACCTTCTATTTATACTAATGGAGAGCATGGGCTGCCCTATGCTGATTGGCCATTGTTCCACCGACTTGGTCATCCATGTTTCCACTTGCTGATGTCACAATCTGGCATTAATTGCACCTGGCCACTTGCTGGTTGGCCGTTGCACGAACGGGATGTTGGGCTATGCTGAATATGCTGGCAAATTGGCCCAAGTATAATATATAGCCCGATCTCCGTTCGGTATGTTTTCTTACTGGGCCAACCCTTATTTGGGCCGAATCTCGTTCGGCGTCAATTCTACCTTGATTATCTCATCATAGAGTGATGGGCCCATTGCTTGGGCCGGGTATCTTGGGCCTTCTTGATCCGGGTATTGGGCCTCTAGGTCAATATCCCAACATTTGTTTTCACAATATTCTTGTGTACATTCACAAATACAATCACATGTCCAACACGCACACACACTTTTACATAAAAACAACATCAACTATCAAAACATACTACAAAACACTCTTTTACCAATACTTGCATGCCCATACAGACAAATGACATTGTATGTCAAATAAACATTATACATATGGGTCAAACAACTATGAAACTAAGTTTCAGTAGACATACACTGCAATTATAAGTTGTCTGTTAGACAGAGAACACTTTTCATATCTAAAATACATTAAAAAATCAAGAAAACAAAATCAAAAAAATCAAGAAACCAAATTAAAGACAACAACACATACTCAAGCCTTCGGCCTCTACAGCTTGTTCATCATCCTCCCTTGACCTCTCATTCAGTTCAACGGCAACTGATGTAAGAGCATCGTCTACACCTTCATCACCTAGCTCTCCAAAAGTCAAGCTATCCATTGAAGAAGTTTCTACGGAGAATATGATGTAGCTCGATCGTGGGATGGGTGCGGCACTGTAGCTCGATCGTTGCTTGTAGGTTTTTTGGCAGAACAAATTCAGCACAGGGAAGGAAGGAGGAGAGATGTGAGAGGAGATAATTTTTGGAGGGATAAAGAATGGTAAAAATAGGAGGGATAATTTTTGGAGGGATAAACCGTGTAATTAAAATTTATGCTGAACAAAGAGAATTAGCTTTAGGCCCATATTTCTTTATTATAAATGAAAATGGACCATATTTCTTGCAAAAACTGATTGTTGAAACTTGAAACTTGAAAGCGGAGAGGGAAGAGGAACGAGAGAAGGAAGAACAGCAAACACAGGTTGATAAGAACCAGCGTCATCCCATTTTATTACAAGATTTTCTCTCTTTCTTTGTTCTTTAATTATATTTTTCGATTATAACTTTCATCCCAGCGTTAGAGATGTTTGCCCGTAGTAAAATCTGATTTGGCCTCTGAAATTGGTTGTTTGTTCTTTACTTTGTATCCTTTATTCTGCTGTGTCGTAATAACTTGGGTTCCTTTTAGAAAAAGAACGATGCTAAGAAATTGAACAAACTCGATCCAATGGAATTATGATTGGTTTGTGGATTGCAGTCTCAATGTTATTACACTGACCATTACTGGTCCGGATTATTTTTTTTTGCAATTTGTGAGATCACATTTGTGGAAGTATAAGGATATATTGAGCTTTCAACTGCACCACCACCATTATCGGTTTATCCCGAGATTCTCAAAAAGAGTATTTTGTCCAAAATTTTGCTAAGTTTTGTATAGAAGTGCATAGCTCATCAAAATAGAAAAACTCAAAATTACTTCTTGAACGGAAACATAACCATCTGTCCAACTCGGGCAGCTCATTTATTCTACGGCCGACTTGAACTTATTTCTATGTTATTTATTGAATACGAAGTACAAAAAGGAAAAAAGAAAACCATCATCCCTATCAACCAGTTAATTTTGATTTTGTTGTTCCTTGTAAGAATGTTTTGCCTGGGTTCTTACAATTGCTTTGTTTTTGCAGTTATTCGACATGACGACAGCAGCTAGACCTACATGGGCACCTGCTAAGGGTGGCAGTGAGCAAGGAGGGACTCGGATTTTCGGCCCCTCTCAGAAATACTCATCAAGAGATATTGCATCTCATACAACCTTGAAGCCAAGGTTTTTACTTGAACTCAATATTTTCTTAGTGTTTTTTTGTTTTTTTAGTTGTGGTGGTGGAGGGAGGTTAAAGGTATAAATATCTATGCAGCTGTAGTTGTTGAGTGCATGATACTGTTTTCTAACAGAGCTCTACCAATTTAATCTACTCCTATTTTATAGCAGTTGCCTAGTCAGGATACTTTGATAATATGGTAGTGAATTGGTTTTAAATATTGACCTTTTGTAATAGTGATTCTCCTAGAGTTAACATCATGGATTTGGTTTTACTTGTAGATATTCGGACTATGTGGTTCAGGCTTCACTGTGCATAAATTTATCTGGCAATTTCATAATTTGAATGGATATGTTGCTGCGCAGAAAGGAAGGACAGGAAACGCAGGATGAATTGCAGAAGAGAAACCTCAGAGAGGAACTTGAACAGCGTGAATCAAGGCACTTCTCTTCAAAGGAAAAGGGCTACAATGGTTCGTAGATCCTATATTCTCCTTCTCATCACATTCCACTCCAACCCACCACCCACTACAATGAACACACATTATTGTCAAGGGTAGATGATGTAGTTGACCTGTTAAACTCTTGATTTTTTGGTTGCAGAGGACAGGGATCGCCGAAAGAGTAGTCATCATTTTTTAGAAGGCGAGTGATTCTTGTTTGTCTTATGAGTTTGTTTTATAATTGAAAACCTTGAATTATGTTTCATCAAATGGTGATGTCATGTGCAAACAGGTTCTAAAAGAGACGGTGAAGATCAAATTGTTCCACGCAGTGCGGATGCTGATGATGCAGATGTGGATCCCAAAAGTGATGATGAAAGGCGAGTGTTATGCTATCATTAGTTTTTTCCCTGACATGCTGTCCTGAACACCGAGTGAATTGAATTGGTTAACCTCATTCTGGTGGCACAAAAATAATATCTCCCTTGTCATGCTCTCCTATGCCACTGATCATGTACATCCAATTGATTTTATTTTGAAAATGTTCTTTTTTATATTCAGCTGTAAATGATATCTGATATCAAGTGTTCATCAACCAAGTTATATATGATTTCATATCTCTCTTCATGTCTCACTGTTTAAAAAAGTGCTGGGCCAGCTGTGCATGCGTGTGTTTACTCTTTAATGATCCTTCACATTTTCTATACTTTCAATATGGTGTCATAAAATATTTAATGTGCCCACTGTATAGTGATGAAGATGAGGATGAGGATGACATGGAAGCTCTCTTGGCTGAGCTTGGTCAGATAAAAAAAGAAAGGGCAGATGAAAAAATGAGAAAAGTAAGTTTTTTAATCTTATGTTTTTCAATCAAGTAATTGATGCAAGACTTCATGCCCTGATTTATCCTTATATATTTGGTTCAATGAGTAGCGTGGTGATTAAAGAACACTGCCAACTAATCACTCTTCCTTAGTTGTAATGAAGTGTGTGCTACTTTCAGGAACGACAACAACTAGAAGAAGATCTCAAAGCAAAGGAAGCAGAACTCTTAAGAGGAAATCCTCTCATAAACCAGCCAACATCCTTTAATGTGAAGAGAAGGTCAATTCTCTTGCTCTTATATTATTTTAGATTTGATTTGAATTAATTAATTTTTAATATTAATATAATATGTTGTTTTACTTAGGTGGGACGATGACGTGGTCTTCAAGAACCAGACTAGGGGAGAAACAAAAGCACCGAAGCGCTTTATAAATGACACCATTCGGAATGACTTCCATCGCAAGTTTCTCCACAAATATATGAAGTGATATCATGGATGCCATGCTGGTACAATCCTCTTTGTTTAAATAAATGTGATTAATTCACAATTTGAGCTTGCCGAGGACATGCCATTACAAGTTTATTATTATGGGTAGTCTAAACGGGGAAAAGAATTACTTTAAATAAACATTTACGCAATAAGTTTTTCTTGAGTTTCAGCCCACAATAGATAACTTTATTGTACATCAGTTATAGTGCTCTTGGTGGAACACATTTCATCTATTTAAAAAGTATGTCATTGAGGTTTTAAAAAAAATTGTCATTGAAGGTGTCTAATAAGGTTTGACCTGGGCTGGTTTTGGCCCGACTCTGGGTAAATCAGTTCTCATAATGGTTTCGTTTTTGTAAATTAAGAAAATATAAAATTAGAACCTGGTCTTATATTTAATTGGAGGGATCAAAATGGTTGTACTGGTTATGGATGCCAGTTTCCGCCCAGAACAAGAATCCAGTCAACTAACTCAGTTCTTTACTCGTCCGGATCTGATTTGGTTCTTGAACTTGATCTTCTCTAGCGTCTAGTACTCTAGTATGCTTCACGGAGTTTCCTTCAAGTCTTAACATTACCATTTTGGATTAGCAGTCAATTCTTTCCTAGTTGAATCTAGGGAATGGTTAGTGGTAATGTTCTGGTATGCAAGGGTGGACATTGGTTTCATTCCCAATTGGTATCTGCGTTTCCATACCATCTTAGGCGATGGGGAGTTTAGGGCTAGGACTAAAGCTGACCGGTCTGACTGGCTATGTTTGTCTATCAGCATTCGAGTCAAAACGTCAAAATCCGTTGAACCTAAAATGCTACCTAAAGCAGCGTGTTGGGATTGCGTTTTTTCCCATCTGTCAAAAAACAAACGCAGCCTGTATGTATGAACCAGAATAGCATGTCTAGTTTCTGGTGAGGCAAGCACCATTTCCCAGAACAAAAAACATTGACAGGTTAGGGCTGGGACTGAGATGTGTTCCACTCCCAGTCCTTGATTCGCTCTGTTAGCAATTAGAGGCCAACAACCAGAAACTGTGTAAACTATTAATTATCAGAGAAATTTCATAATCCATGTTCTTTCGGCCCATTCAAACAAAGTAATGTTCAATTCTGTTGCCACCAAATTTTGGTGTCTATATACTATGCATATAATAATTTTCTTAGAGGAGCTCATGTCTTTTCTCATTGAAATAATAGCTTTTGCTCTGTACACAAAGACTTCAAGTGTCAAAGACTGCATATATTAACATTTCTTCGAAGGCAAAAGTATGCACACAATCTATAAGCAACAGCCATGGCGAGTAGAACCCAAACTTCCCTTAGGCCGCCATTGAGATTCACGGTGTCAAATGAAGGTGAACTTTGTAGAGTCTTACACCCTCCTTCACTTCCACACTCGTACAACTCATCCCCGTCATACTGCACTTTTAACAGAAGCCGAAAACCGTAGTACATGAATGACACATACTTTAGCCACCTCATGAATTTTGGTATGTGCTGTACAAAGTATACCCCTTGAAAATTAGTTTGGAGTTAAAGTATACTATTATTAGTGACTGGAATACAGACTTCAGTTTATACTCTATGCAGAGTTCATATTGAGTAGTACCTGAACATAATAGCCTCCTGTAAGTAGAAACAACAACAATACTAAAGAAGCTAATGTTCCTGCCCTTCTAATGCTCATCACTGTAGCTCCAAACAGCTCTCCTGCCCCCTAGTTCACAAAAGTGTAATCAACACATGAAAAGTCGTAGCAATGTCAAAATTCTGAAGGTGTCAAAGATGTATAATGGAATCATCATCATCACCCCAGTGCCGCAAAGGCTCCCACCAACGGTGGGGTAAGGGGGGTCAGATGTACGCAGTCTTACCCCTGTACTAGCATAGATAAACTGTTTCCGAATGACCCATAATGAAAATCACGTCAAAAATTCAAGACTGAATGCTGCTTCATAACAAAGAAGCGCAGACAGTTTAGTGAGCCATTTTGCTTTATTCCATCATATTCCCAAGCCTAAAAATAGTGAGTCTTTGACTCCATTACAAATGATGGAAACTATATTGATTAGATTGTGTTAATGATAATGGTAAATAGAGTATATGGCCATATAGGGGTTTACATCGGACACTAGTCCACACCATAAAGGGAATGTGATTTGAAAAGTGAACAACAATATGATAGTTACAAGGATATTACTAAGCAAGTACTTAATATTTCGAATATATGAATAGTAAAATTGCTAATAGAAGTTAAATGGACATGTTCTAATCACGCTTATGTCAGTACCAAACCAGACAAGAAAGACTCGATATTACACGCAAAACTATCTTTAGAGAACACGGTAAGAAAAAAATGTCTTTAGTATGTAGCAAGTTCTTTTTGTACTTACTTGGCTGGTGACTGCAATCAAGAGGATTGCGGATAATGTGAGGAAGAAGCACTGGACCGTTCTTTTGAAGCCAACCATGAAATAAAGAATGGACATGAACACAGTAGGGTATGTGACATGAGCAACCATGTCGCACAAAGTGCTGCAGACATAGTACACACTTAATCTGTACATGTCTGCTTTCCTCTCCTTCACTAGATATATCTTCTCAAACGGGAAAACATATACCGCTCCAAAGATAGATGATGAAGTCCAGAAAATACAAATGTAGAATATCAAACCAATCTGCAGTTCAGGGGGAAATTTGAGGTTGTTTGGCTCTTAAAAAATTAGAGTAATGTGGCAGAACAGGAAAATATAAAGTATGAGATTGCCTGATCTCTAAGCTGAGCCTCAGTGGTAGTAACAGATTTCCACCAAAGAAGGCCTAGGAGGATGGCAACTCCAAGGGCCTGAACCAAGCGTAACTTGTCGAAATAATCTCTACGTCTTTCTTTATATGTTCTTTTGGACAGTATCAAGAACTGATCCCACCAGGGCAATGTCCAGTCTTTCTTGACTTGAATGGCTGTTTGGAGATGTGTCGGAGCATTTGGCATTTGTTGTTTCTCTTTTGGCTCCAATTGTGTTTTGCACTTGTGTTGTAAATACTAATAGTAGTTACATATATACAGATATTTAAAAATGTGTGTGTCACAACATATAAAATGGCGGAACTTCGCCTAGTAGGAAACAAATGAGCCTGCACCTCACTTTTTCTTCCAAATTTGAATTTGCACCTTATTTTATATAACTTAGATCCACACACTATCATTAGAAAAAATTTGATGTTAAAAGGTATTGATTTCATGTGCAATTTCACTACAAAATATTGATTAAGATTAGAGTTTGAACCACGGCTTTTCTTCTAAATTGGAGTTTACACTCTGTTTTAAAACTTCGTTAACAGGTTTTCTAATAGCGGGGCGCAAATACTAATGCTAGTGAAAGTGGGGTGAAACCTCCAATCAGAAAGAAAAAGTTAGGTGCAACCTCCAATTTTGCCTTTTATTATTAGAAAATAGCAATTAAATCAGATGTGCCTTTAGTTGGAAAAGAAGTAAAAGCTCACTCTGATAATGAGTCTCTCAGATTCAGATGTGCCTTTAGTTGGGATTAATAACTCTTCAGGAATACTGATATCATTCACTTGTCCATTTGCTAAATCAATCAAGAACTCCGCAGGATTCATCACTATTTCCGGGATGAATCTCAGAGATGAGAAGTAGTCCATGGACTCTCTTGCTTTCCCATAATATACTGGAGAGCCTTCAGATATTAATAAAATTTTATCAAACATGTGATATATCCTACTTGAAGGCTGATGGATTGTTGTGATGATAGTTCTTCTCCCCTGATTGTCACAAAAAAACAGTCTCTATTAATTTTGTATGAATGTTTTATTAAATAGAGGAAATTTTTCATTAATATGACTAAAACATGTAATGTTTCTCAATTAGAGCTATCATTTTCTTTAAAATATGACATTTTCACCAAAAATTCCCTAAAGAATTGCACCTACTTGTATACCTTTTTAGGACTATATGAGTCATATGAAAAAGTATATTCACATTTGTGCATATTACCTATGTTTTACTCCTCTTTAGAATAATTTCTACTAATTAAGTCAACAACTTTGTACCTTTGCAAGGCCTTTTAGATTCTGAAGCAGTCTATTGGCAGATGATGAATCCAATCCAGAAGTTGGTTCATCAAGCAATAATAGTGAAGGATCAACAAGAATTTCATACCCAATGCTTGTTCTTTTTCTTTCTCCCCCAGATATGCCTTTGACAAATCCTCCTCCAACACGTGTTTGTCTACATCTGTGATTTTAAAACTGGAAAGTTAAAACACTCATAAATATCAATTTAGAGAAATATTTCTCCATAAGCACATACCTTTCAAGCCCCAAATCCTTAATAATCATCTCCACCCTTTCATGTTTTTCTCGCTTACTCATCTCGCTTGGCAATCTTAAAAATGCAGCAAACACCAAGGTTTCCTCCACCGTCAGCTGTGGGAAAAGCACATCATCTTGTGTCACAAACCCCACCCTAGTAATCCCACCACATACAATTCATACAATGATATAAGAGTCTCACACTGCCATATTATAAAAGAAGAAATGGACTACAATTATCTCGATGAGATGTAATCAGGGGCGTAGCCAGGATCGAAGCTTGGGGTGGACCGGTATAAATAATTTTTTCAGATAAATTTTTACACGTATATTTTTACACTAAAAAATACAAAGAATTTTAAATTTGGGGTGGCCCGGGGCCCGGTTGGCCCCCCTCTACCTCCGGTTGATCAATTAAATTTGATCTTTTAGTGTGTCCAGTCCAAATGTCTTAGGAACCATTTTTTAGGAGAGCCTAATTCTTACGGATTTGAGTTTTAGTTCATCACGTTAGTTTACGATTGTATTGCAAAAACTTAAGTTTTAAAGAACTATTGAGAACCTCAATAATCCAGTCCTTGAGAACCTCCTAATAAGAGGCTCTGAGAGTTTAAAATCTTCTATGTATAAATTGTTTTGCTGTGCTCACCTAGGTTTATAACCTCCATCCAAACGTGATTTTAACACATCCACCCAGGTTAATCTAATAATTATCATACCAACATTTTTGTACATATATCTTGATTCAAAAGGGTTTTACTTGACCTAAGCTGACTTGAACTTACTAGGTTTATTCAAGTTCACTTTAGCTTAATGTAGCCTATGTTATGTTTTTATGACCTCAACTCAGTTCTGAGTCCTTTCCAAATAAAAAGAGTTGACAGGTAGAGAGGATTCTGACCTCCTTTTAAGAGCAGCAGTGTATGTGATGTCATTGTAAGTTATAGTTCCTTTAACATTTTCATGAATTCTTCCTCCTAATATCTTCAGCAGTGTTGTTTTCCCACTACCAGAGGGCCCCATCAGAGCAAGAATTTCCCCAGGTCCTATGCTTCCCGTGATGCCTTTCAGTATCTGCTTATAGTTGTTTGGCGCAATGTTAAGCTGAGAAGCCACATTTGACACCACTGCCTTAACGGGATTTGTGGAGGACTCTTGTCTGACCTTCACCTTGTACTCTACATCTACAAACTACAAGGAGCTATCCACATTAGTATGATATTTTCCAAAGCAGTGGAGTTAGGTGGTTCCTATTTCATATCATTATGTCAATGTGAGATTTGAGTTGCATTAAATGAAAACTTCTCGTGTCAATGTGAGATGGATGTACACTATGGCTATGGTGCACCGAAGGCCTGTGCGTAGTTTTATTTCTCTTAAATTTTTAATGTATACGTAGTATTTTTTTTCGTTTTTTCTTTATTTAGGCTACTTTATTATTTTTCCATGTGAAAATGGGAATGTTGCAACTAAAAGAGAATGGATGAAGTATTTATCTATTTAGTCTAGTCATATTCAGATTCTTGGATCCGCCCCTGCTGGTAATGTATACTTCATTAGGACAACTAACATATTTTAGAGTCTAGGCAAGACATTATTTACCTTGAGATATATTGGAAGGGGATGATTAGTATTTGAATGTGATACATCATCAACTATGTCGATTTCTGAGCTTCTGCTTGTGAGGTAGGCTTGAGGCATGAAGTCTATGTTATGACCAAAGCCATTGCTGCCTCCAATTTGCATGGACCCCATGGTGGGAGGGGACAAAGCCAAATCTTCATGAATTTCATCATGTCTTCCATGCTCCATTCTCTATTTGATAATCTTTCTTAAATGACTTTCAAGAAATTACTTGTTCTCTATTTGATAATCTTTCTTAAATGACTTTCAAGAAATTACTTGTTCTCTATTTGATAATATTTCTTAAATGACTTTCAAGAAATTAAACTCATGCTATATATGTAGGAGCCAATAGCCACACCAAGTCACCAATAATTAACCTGCTTGTGTAAAAAGAGCGGTTAAGCCACATTCTTTATATGCTTGACAAAAAAACTAGTCAATATGTAGTTGTTACATGCCCATAGCACTGCTTTTGATTTGCCATTTATGTCTTTGAAAATCCAAATCCCTAATTGTAGTGATTTTCGAAGTCCTTACTCATGATGCGAAAGAGGTGTTTTTATTATTACTATGACGAGTGTATTTATTGTCTCCGGCCGGTAGAAGGGTAGAACAACTATTTTTCAAAACAGTCTAATTTTATTATTGTTGTTGTTGCTATTATTACTTCTGGATTATTATTTTTTCGACTTTCTAGTCTCTTACCGTATTTGTTCAATGTTAAATGCCAATGAGTTTCGAACGCGTGACCTTCTGATTGAGAGCGTCACAATGATGTCATCAAATCACAATGAGTCTATATACCATACAATCGGTTGTACGTGAGTCTATATATCATACAATCGGTTGTACGGCTTGCACTGTACAACCGGTGACATTTTGGTAATTTAAGTAAAATTCGCGACTTCCGCTAAATGAGCATTAATCAATGTTTAATGAACATCAGATCTATTCTATTGAGTATTGAGAGTCTAATAATGAGTATCGTGATATCAGCTTCATATCTTATAATTAACTTTCTTTTTCATATTTTTTAAAATATCGACAATGAACCCGCATGAATCTAATATGTAAATTTAATGTAATATTATACTTTTGAAATATGCAAGAATATGACATTTTAAAATGAGTATTACACCAATACCTAATGAGCATACATGAATTATGAAATGAGTATCAAAAAAATATAAAAGCTCATTTAAATCTCTATTATGCTCATAATTTCATTTGTGTATGCTCATACCTTTATTACGTATAGTTTAGATTTCTCCTAACCCAAAAAGCGACAAAACTCATCAAACCTAAACCTGAGTAAGAAAAAGAGAAAAATGAAAACAGTGCAAAGAAATAAAGGAGGAGAGACCGTCGGAGAATACATCGCAAAATCCATCCATATCCTCCTCTGAGAGCTCCATTGTCGCAGATCCGAGAGGTGAGCGAAGCGATAGTGGTGAGGAAGCGACGAGCCACGTGAGGTGGTGGAACGACTGTGCGAAGTCCACCATTCAGAGCTCCATCGTCGCAAATCTGACTGTGCGAACGAAGCTGTGAGGAACGACGAACGGTGCACAGCGAACAAAAAGTCAAATCCGACTGTGTGAGCGAAGCTGTGAGGAACGACGAATGGTGCGCAGCGAACAAAAGCTAGGTTGTACCTGCGCATAGTACAACCGACTGTACGATATATTTTACTCCACATGATACTTGGCTCTGATCGGGATTATTATTGTTGTTGTTTGTAGTATTACTATTATTATTACAATACTCTTATTATATTTTTAAATCCTTCGAGGATTCCCTCACTTAATACAACATCTGTATCAAACTATGCATTGTCTAGATATATGATTTGGTGTTATTTTCGTCCAAAAAATGATTTTGTTTTATTTCAAATTTAATGCTATCGTAATACCCGAAGGGTGTATCCCTGTATGAATAAGAATTTCCAAAAACAATGTGTTGACTTTTATATTTGTGCGAGCGAAAGGAACGACGCACGGTGCGCAATGAACAAAAAGCTCAGTTGCACCTGCGCACAATAAAAGCTTGGTTTCAGCTGTGAATGAGATTATATATGGTAGAGTAAGAATATTTTTACTTGGACTAAAAAGATCAGATCAGACCAGACTTCGACAATTATAAAATACACAAATACCAGACATTTACCAGACAAGTTCAGATCAGACTAGATCAATTAAAAACATCATCACTTATTATCACTTAAGTGACCATGATGTCATTATAATATAGTAACTTTTGTCATATATTTGTAAATAAGTTCCACTTCAGTAATATTTATATAAAATTCTTGACTTAAATTTACCAAAACGGACCAGACTCCGATAGTTATAAAATACACAATGATCAAACATTTATCATACCAGATAAGACTAAAAAAATTCAGTCCAATTAAAAGATCTTTATTTTCATTAGTACTAGCTATTGATTTTAGCCATTAGATTTAATATTTGTAGAAAAATAGACACCCCATACTCACTTTTTCACTTTCAATTCTAACCTAACAGTTAAGATTAATTCATCACTAAAAATATTTTTTTCTTTAGAATTTTGATTTGATATGATCTATTTAGGTCTACTATTGACTTGTTACTTGGCTAAGGCTATGTTTGTCAGACATAAATCTCTATCTTCTAACTTTTGTACTACGTACTATTTAAAAAGTATTTAAGAACTTCTAGTTGTATGTTTGACATGCCAATTTTTAAGAGATTTATAAAATAAAAGATATTTTATGAAATGATACAGTGAGTAGCATCTCAGACAAGTCTGTAGATTCTGACATTAATTAGTCCCAATAGCTAGTGTACCAAACAGAGCTAAATCAAAACAATCAGTTTTTTATCAATCAATTACTACTTTTTCTTTTAAAATCTTTTCAGTCACTAAAAGCTAACAATTACTAAAAAGTTCATAAAAGTATCTTTTCAGCTAGTTGTGTCAAACATACGCTAAGTCTGATCATATTCGATATGTGTGATTTTGTTTGATCTAGTGTACTCAAATTTGAAATCAATCTAGGTGGAAATTTTAATATATATATCAACTTTATCGCGAATCTTTCTAATTTTATTGACATTTCATAAATGTCTTAAAATGTAAATAATCATGAATTTCTATCCCAGAAAGAAATCATCACTCTTCTTTATTGAATGTTTCAAAAGAAGTTCTAATTTCTATAAAAAGATCTTTTTATACGAAATGTCACAAGACTCGCAACTATCCTTTTTTTGAAGAAACAACTATCTTTATTTGTTACCTATTATTTGCTGGATTTGAAGTAAACAAATCGGAGTAATTAGTAAATAGAAATTGCCCAATATAGGAGTAAACATAAACATAATTGCACAAATAGGAGTAAAACTTAAAACTTCCTTCAATAGGAGTAAACATTAATTTTGTACCCTTAATATCCCTAACCTAGTTAATTCTAAAATATGACTTATTTAATCTTAACCTAGTTAATTTATGACTTATTCGATAATAATAATTTATTTATTTATTTATTTTTCAAAAAATAAAAAAAATATAATTTTTTTTAAAAATAAAAAACTCAAAAAAATAAAATAAAATTCATCGCCTCCTCTGCCGACTCTGTACCACCACCTCCAGTCACCAGAGGAAAAAAATGCCAAGTTCATTACGAATGCCATATTTATGGCAGAAAATAATGAAAATGTTGGCATTCGCAAAGAGAAATATGCCATGTTTTTGGCATTTTCAGAAAAAATGGCAGTTTTTAGGAAAAATGGAATTTTTTTTCACCACCCGAAGGTGGTGGTGCAGGAAGGTTGTACAGGCGGTGGGAAAGACATCCATATTTTTTTAATTTTTTTATGGAGTTTTACTATTTTTTATTAATTTTTTAAAAAACTAAAAAAATTTTAAAAAAACTTTTAAAATTTTTTATTTTATTAATATTTTATAAAATTTTTTATTATTTTTCTACGAATTTTTGATTTTTTTCTGAATTTATTATGAATTAAACATTTAATTAAAAGTTGTTGGGGCTTAGGGCTTGTGTAGGGGTATACTTGTCCAAACACTAAAGTTACTCCTATTCAAAATATGATACTCCTATTTTTGCATTTTGCCTATGTTTTGTTCTTATTTGGGGAATTCTCTCATTAGTAAATCAAAGTTGGATTTTTGTGAAATGTAGGCAATACGTTTTAATTAAAGTGCGAAGCCGCGAGGAATATTGATCGGGTTTTTGCGTAGAGTTTAAACATACTCCCTCCGTCCCGGTCATTTCTTCCGGTTTTGACCGGTATCGCAAATTTAGGTAGTGGGAATAAAGTTAAAATGTATGGTTGTAGTTGTGTAAGAAAAAGGTGAATGAATGTGAACCACATATTTTTTTCAAAAGTGGAAGTTGGAAGAATTAATTGGGACGGTCCAAAAAGGAAAGTTGGAAGAAATGATCGGGACGAGGGGAGTATTTGATTAAAAAAGTTAATCTTACTATTCATTATAAATATTAAAAATTAAAAAGTTGAATAAAGTCAATAAACTAATCCTTTTAAACCTGCCCAAATAGGCTTATGAAAATTTTAGAGATATTACCTAAAATAGGACTAAAAACGTTTATATATTCCAAAATAGGACTATCATGTTTTTATTCTCAAAATAAGACTAATTAATGTCATGTTTTGGCAGTATCAGACTTTAAACATGGCAGTATTTTCCAAACTTGACAGTAATTACTCATATTTTGAGAATAAAAACATGTCAATCCTATTTTAAAATTTTCAAACTTTTTTACTCCTATTTGATGAATTTTCCCAAAATTTTATGGTTTGAAAGAATTGGCCCATCGATACCTTTTCTTTTACTTTGTAAAATCCAAAATTCGTAACATGCATTGATTTATTACTAGTAATTAATTAAATCGGAGCGTTTGCGGAGCTATTTGGCGACCAAACTGACCAACGGTGGAGATGGAGCCTTTCCCCCAACGTTTTAATTTCCCCTCTCAACGGTCAGAAACGGAGAAATTCGCCTTCTCATAATCTACGCCCAACTTCTCATCGCTCTCACACTTCAAGAACGGAGAAAGAATCCATCGATTTCTCCCTTTGTCAGGAAAATATTCTTTAACACAGAAGAAAAATGAGTGTCTTGCAATACCAACAAGGGTTAACCCCCACAGATATTCAGATATGGAATAATGCTGCATTCGACCATGGAAGTTCTGAAGAGCCGGGGCGTTTTCGGGCTCAAATGAAGCCTCTTTCGGTGAAGAAGGTTGCAGATTCATTCGAATCAGTTTCTAGCAAAG